TTTTACATTTTCCATTTATAATTTTAAAAACAGCCCGATAGCCTATCGGTTTAGGAATTATAGGAAGTTACGTTTGAGGATCTAGCTTTAATCTGCAAGTTTGTAACAAGATTACCTTCAGGCCGTTCGGGCAACCTGATGCTGCTAGAACTGCAACAGAACCGCAGTAGAAAATACCATTTTCACCGTAACAGCAGGTTGATCCGCTGTCGCTCCAAGACACCTGCGAGTGGACAAATAGAAATCCCAAAACATTAATCGACTGTACAACTACTTTAAAGTAAACATCAAATTCAAAGCTAAAGTGAACATCCTGGCCACATAGTCCGCGTATTCAGACATCACTTCCCACGCTCATTATTTGCCAATGACGTCGGCGGTTTCGAAGACTAGTGGCCGTGCACGTCACTGCTCAGTAACAGCAGTTAAAACTTATACAAGATTACCTTCAGGAACCTGATGCTGCAACAGAACCGCAGTAGAAAATACCATTTTCACCGTAACAGCAGGTTGATCTGCTGTCGCTCCCAAAACACCTATCCTGGTCAAAAATCCTTGGCGCACTTAGTCTAAATAGCATAACCTTTACTTCATTTCTGATTACCATATAAATACTTGCTCAATTGATGCAAAATTTCATGTCCAAACACCCCCTATCCCCCTTATCAATGTTGTGTAACACCTTGGACGTATAACACACTACAGACAACACTGAACTGGGGAAAGGGGGGTTGCTATCCTTGTAATTGAAGTAGGAGTCAAATTTCGCACAGTCAGTGTCAAGTGCGCCAATAGTTTGACCAGGATTGTAGCTTTAATCTGCAAGTTTGTAACAAGATACCTTCAGGCCGTTCGGGCAACCTGATGCTGCAACAGAACCGCAGTAGAAAATACCATTTTCACCGTAACAGCAGATTGATCTGCTGTCGCTCCAAGACACCTGCGAGTGGACAAATAGAAATCCCAAAACATTAATCGACTGTACAACTACTTTAAAGTAAACATTAAATTCAAAGCTAAAGTGAACATCCTGGCCACATAGTCCGCGTATTCAGACATCATTTCCCACGCTCATTCTTCGCCAATGACGTCGGTTTCGAAGACTAGTGGCCGTGCACGTCACTGCTCAGTAACAGCAGTTAAACTAAAGCAGATATTATGGTTATAACATAACTATAGTGCAGCTGATAGGAGGACCAACAAATCTCCTTTTTCAAACAAAATATACAAAGACAACCTCGTGTAACCACACAAGGTCGTCTCGATGTGCAGTCGAACTCGGAAATACGCAGATATTTCGCTTATACAAACTATCGAACTATCTTTTCTTTAACCAAGTTTGTCCGCACGGCTAATCCTCCGTCACTTTCCATCAGCAGATAAAATCGCGATACTTACAGCCAAGACACCATTCCAATCAAGTATAAGAGAAACAGAGATGAGAAGGACAAAACTTTTCCTTGAAAATTTCTTCATGCATGTATTTTCTTGTTTCGTTCGGACGTCGGAACAATCAACAAGTATTAACCTGCTCGCAGTCTACAAGCAGGGATGTCAACAACTGAAGATGTTATTGTTGCACTCCGGATGCCAGCAGGCTATCAAGCTTTGACCTTTGTTTAGTCAGTTTCACTTTCTCCCCAATTCCTGGTAAAGCATTTCAGAGAAAAGCCCAGCACGTTTTCACACAGGCCGCGGAAGCATGTTGATAGAGTGTGTGTGTGTGTGTGTGTGTGTGTGT